ACTGACCCCAACCCCAAACCTGCTAAAATAGATTAGCTCTTGTAAGGATAATACTAATTTGATTATTGACCAAACTGCTTAAGAGGAGGAAGTGACAGCACTTCCTGGTTCAACAAATGTATTTGGAAAACTGACAGCCATAATAATGTTCATATGAACCATTTGTCTTTCTGTGTTCACAGTTTTATTCCTGAGAATGAGAATAGACATGGAGCAAAATCCCACTGATAATAAGCCACTGATAATGAAAGTATAATACCACAGAAAGATTAAAATGTATGTTTAAGAATATGGCTCAATAGAAGCAAATATGCAAACATATTTGTAAATAGATTAGAATAGTATTAAACTATAGTAAATAGATTAGAAAGTACACAGTCTAAGATTAAAGTGAAATAAGTGAAGTGTAAACAATTAGCATTAGAATAAAAGTATAGAGTAATAAAAGTGAAATTAGCTTCAAATTTGAGACTCAACTCGTTTTTGTCTGTGTTTTGACTGAATCTGCTGAGTTCTTGTGTGTCCAATAGTGTTTGTTTGTTTTTATTTTTGATTTGTTTTTTGTTTGTTTATTTACTTTATTTTTGTTTGTTTGTTTTTTCCCAGGATAGAGGATAAAATCCACTGATATTGATTTTGATGATTATGAGTTTAATGCATACATTTTCTTTGTTTTTTAATATTTTTTAAAAGTTTTTTTGATTTTTTTTTTTTCTTTTTCCACTTTATTGATTGATCAAATTGAATGATCACATGTGATTATGTGATCAAAGGGGAGGGTGTTAGTATTAGATAGCAATATGGCCTACGTGCAGGACTCTACAAGGACTGTACAAGGACTCCATGTTATGACTATGATGTGACTGTCTCTTTGTGACACGTATGTCTTTCGATGTGTGACGTGACAATGACTATATAAACTGTGTACTGCCTTTATTCTGTCTGAGAGAAAGAAACAGAGTAAACCAGTGGAACTTGAGAGAAACTTAAATAAACTTCCAGAGTCTGGCGCACCACGATCCGTCTCTGTCTGCCTCATCCCTGACATTACATACACAAAAACAAAGTTGCCAGTACTAAACCACTATTATGTATATGGCTTTGTAGCAAAATGGTCAAAATGTCTTTCGATCCCATTGTACCTCAATGACGTTGACTCTTTATAAATAACAAGACTCTAAAACCAGCTACTTCCTTTAGACTCCTTCATAAATCAGAATTATGTGACGATGGAAACTGCTAAAAAACTGTTTGATTGACTGTAAAGGAAAGTGACCAGAAGAATCAGCAGATGTATATTGTGGATATTTGTCTTTGAACCAGTTGATCAGGGGAGAGCGCGAACGCAGTCCCCCACTACCAGAAATTATGCAGTCGAGATTCCCACATTTGGGGAATTCGCAAAGGTCAGCACAACCGGAGTGCAATGGTTGAGCCTCGCCCTGGGTGAACCACCTTCATGATCATGGTATCTCCCCTGCCAGGTAAGTATGAATTGTACAGGGGCCCACACAGAGCCTCATTCACAGCCATGCTGGCCTCAGTCTGAGGAGTCGCATGGGCTTACCCACAATGCACTGCAGTATGCTAATGATACTTCTGTTTGGGCTGAAGTATTTCAAAGTCACAGCTGCTTTTGGTTCTACAGCAGAAAAGACATCTGAGAGTTCACAGCGAAGAAAGTGAAGCAGCAGCTTTAGCACAAACAACTACAAACTTTATTCTATTCAGTCTGAGAGCAGACACAGACAGGAAGTCCCTCCCCCAAATGTCTCGAACCAGAAACAACCACCTCTCCCTCCCCCGTTCCACATGACGCAGAAGACACTGCAGGAACAAAGGAACCACTGGGGCTTTCACACTATTCTCTATGAAACACTGTTTCCTCATCTTCACAAAACAAAAAACTTCAGATTAGAAAAGTTCACAAGAATCTTTTTAACACATGTTACCAGTGTAACTTATAATTTCAAATACATTATGCAGTGTTGGATGTGTGTAAGCAGCTTAGAACTGTATTAAAGATATTCAAAAAATAAACCACATCAAAAAAGGAAGGGGTCAAGGTCGTCCCTTGTGGCCTGCCCTTTTCTATAACTCCTCTCTGCTAATGCAAAAGCTTACAGCACCTGGTATTCCCAGGCGGTCTTCCATCCAAGTACTAACCAGGCCCGACCCTGCTTGACTTCCGAGATCGGGCATGTTCAGGGTGGTATGGCCGTAAGCAAACATTGAACTTGCTAAATGTATTTTCACATTTGACGGAAGACGTGTAGTTGGTGTCATATTTTATCAAGCAGTCTTTGAAAACATATAAAAAACCTCTTAACACCCACCCGCCCGCGGGCGATTTTTATTTTAAAAATAATCTACTGCCAATAGCAGACGTTACCCCCAAAAAAGTATGTCATTTTAAAGCTTATTTTCTTATCTACATTTATATACAAGTGTACACTATATCAGACTTTGCATTCAAAAGACATAAGTCTGAATAGTTGTAAGTTTGAAGATTGTGTGCTTACAATAAAGTATGCCTTTGTTAGAGCCTTTTGAAATTGAATATTTTAGGCGAGGCTAAAAAAACATTTTTTTTCCCAAACCTCCAAGGATGCAGAGGAAAAAAATTCTTATTTCAGAATGACATACATTATTTTAGTGTATATTTACATAAACTAGAAGTCTCTAGCTTTAAAATTATGCATCACACAAGCATGTGACATGTTAGACATTTGGGTATGCCCAACTTTTGTGCATGAGCCAAAATAAGGCAGGTGTTAAGAGGTTGAAACTACAAAAGAGGGAACTTTACATCCTCAAGCAGCAAAATCTACACAATAAATTCAATTCAAGACCACAGCCCATTTTTTATGCACAACCTAACATGTAAAGCCCATGAATAAAAGCTTTGAATGGTTCAAAATAAAATGCTACTCACCAGTGTTGCACCCGATCTTTCATCTGGTTCAATAACCATCCATCAATCCACGAATGAATTAATCGTCAATGGACAACATGGCCAGTGCACTTACTGAACTCGGCCAAGTGGCCCGGTTCGTCGCCACAGGGGTGTGAAGACGGCCCGCGGTCACAAGGGCTTGTTTTCTTAACTGTGCTGTAGTACAACGCTCAGTCCAGCTGGTGGCGCTAATACTAACTCCAGCGACGATCTTGTTGTCCTAGTTAAGTTTCTGTTTTTCTTCCTGTTTACATTTTGCTATTGTAGCGCCAAGAGCTCGAGTACAGATCGCAATGTTTGCATCGGAGCAATGTGAACAAGTGTGAGATGTGTCTTTTCCCAAAGTGGAACACAAGTGTGTACGCTCCGCGGACACAGGAGCTCGCTTTGGATTAAAGCGGCACGGTGGCTGAGTGGATAGCACTCTCGCCTCTCAGCAAGAAGGTCCTGGGTTCGAATCCCGGTCGGACCAGGGCCTTTCTGAGTGGAGTTTGCATGTTCTCCCCGTGTCTGCGTAGGTTTCCTCCGGGTACTCCGGTTTCCCCTACCACTAAAAATATGTCCAATAGTTCTGGCATGCGCCTCCTGTACTGGCGACCCCGCTCCCATCTCTGTGTGGAGTGAGAGACAAATGCCCAAAAATTGACAATTGTAAACCGCTTTGAGACTCAGATCTGCAGTGAAAAGGCGGTATATAAATACAAACTTACTTACTTACTACTTACTACTTACTTACTTAAAGAGCGTAAGCGTTGAGAAATTAATGTGTGATCCGGCATGTGGGATAGGAAATGTTTTATGTTTTAAGGGGGCGCAGGGGACGCACACTCCCCTGCGCCCCTCGACCACAGTCCGGGGGCTTATATGAAAGGTTTAACACAAGCAGGGCGAATACAAAAGTATGCGACTGCTGTAGAGACGTGTGTGAAAATGTGTCACAATGGGAGCAGCAGGAAGACGTAATGTGACCCACAATATCACGTCCCCCCGCACCTCATCCCCCCCCACTCCCCACATTGACCAACTTCATCTGGGCTTTACAACCGTGCTGAGGCCCACGTCTCCCAACCGTGCCCAAGCCCAGTTTCCGCGGTCACATAGCACCTAAAGCCCGGATCTAAGATAAGATAAGATAAGATGTGCTTTATTTATCTCACATAGGAGAAATTTACATGTCACATTTAGCATGGATAGAGACACTCAGATTGTGCAAAAGGAGGAAATGTGCAAACAAGTTACATGCAGGATATATATGTACAATAAAAGTGACATTAAAAGTCTAATTGCAAAGTGGGCCCTGGCCCACTTTAACCGGGCTTTAGGCAGTGCATGTGTCCGCAACCTTAATCTCTGCTCCCACATTGTGTTTCTTTTAAATGTCTTGATCCTTGTCAGCGTTGAAAAGTTTCTCTTTTCAGACTCTTTGACTCAGCTATGGTCACTGGTGATAATAACAATAATAATAATGCTGTAGGTTGTTGTCAGATCAACTGCAGCAGCGACAGAGGGGGAAAAAACTAGCTTGCTGTTTTTATCAACATCCGCCAAAACTGAACGTCTTGACGTAGTTGATTCCAATATTTCGATTATATCGCCCTTGGGGCCACAATAACTGTGACCCACGGCCTAGATCCATGCCCACAGCCGTCTAGTGAGACCAGTTTTTGGCATCTCCAACAAGGTTAGAAGCCACTGCTCGAGTCTTTCCCTTATCACTCTCTGGTCTTGTCTTCTTCTGGTCTCCCTCTGGTCTCCCTCTGGTCTCCCTCTGGTCTCCCTCTGGTCTCCCTCTGGTCTCCCTCTGGTCTCTCTCTGGTCTCTCTCTGGTCTCTCTCTGGTCTCTCTCTGGTCTCTCTCTGGTCTCTCTCTGGTCTCTCTCTGGTCTCTCTCTGGTCTCTCTCTGGTCTCTCTCTGGTCTCTCTCTGGTCTCTCTCTGGTCTCTCTCTGGTCTCTCTCTGGTCTCTCTCTGGTCTCTCTCTGGTCTCCCTCTGGTCTCCCTCTGGTCTCCCTCTGGTCTCTCTCTGGTCTCTCTCTGGTCTCTCACCTTCACGTTGTCCTGACTATGGAGACCCCCCCACACTTCAGGAAGACGCTTCAGCAGCTCGTCCACAGAACTGTTCTGGAACACAAACACATTTATATTTATACAGTTATAAAAGACCTGTCCAATTATAGACCACACATGTTTACAACCAATCCATCTAAACAACTGATTATTGTAATTTTGGTGACGTCATCATTAGCAGTTTTTTCCCCAACGTGTTTTGATTTGTGTTAAGATTCTGTGCCAAAACCGAGAGGTTGGCGTGTTGCTTGGAACTGTGTCTCCACTACAAGGAAGACACGAACGCCTAGCAGACCAGAGAGAGACCAGTGAACAGAGAGAGAGACCACAGATAGACAAGAGACACTAGAAAGAGGGACCAGAGAGAGAGAGAACAGAGACAGAGGCCACAGAAAGACCAGAAAGAGAGACCAGAGAGAGAGAACAGAGAGAGACCACAGAACGTGACCAGAGATAGACAAGAAAGAGACCAATGAGAGATATCAGAGAGAAAGAGAGACCACAGAGAGAACAGAGATAGAGGAGAGAGAGACCCAAGAGAGATCCCGCTCTCTTTATGTTTCTTTCGTACCTGTGAGATCGAGTACCGCGCTCGAATGGCGTTCACAGAGTCCCGGAGGTTCTGGACCTGCAGAGTCTGCGCAGTGCGGCCCCCTAGAGAGAAGCCTCCGTACCTGCACCACACAAAAAAAAACACTCTCAAACTCTCAAACATCACGGCCAGAATTTGATGAGGGACAAAAGCTTACCTGAACTCATTCACCCACTTTTTGGTTTTGAGGCTGTTGGCACAAGAAGAAGTCAATTCTCTTTATTTACAATTACATTTTCTTGTCATACACATACTAATTTGTAAGGTTTGAAAGTGCTTTGTACAAGGGAACTCCCAGAAAGCTGTATTAGATTTTAAGCCGGGCCCAGTTGATAAATAATAATAACTGGAGAGGGTATTACTAGCTTATAACTGAAGCACCCATGGGCTTGGGGGCTTCACGTGGTACTGCAGAAAAACGTCCCATAGAACTCAATGTAAACTAAAACAGCTGGACCTCAGCTGACGGAGAACCTACAGCTTTCATAAAGGTTGGATTTTTCATGTTAAATCCTTCAGTTTTCTATAAATTCACAATTTAGAGCAACAAACTCTGATCGTTTTCCACCCGTTTTTCCACCCGCTCTAGCTCCGCTCTGATTATTGTGAGTATTTGGCGCAAAGCATCATGGGAGGTTGTCCACTGTGCAAAACCAGGAGGATCAGAAAAGTGCCCAAATATGGGTCCGCAAATCTTTCGGTGCAAAATCCATAACAACATAAATGCTACATAATTAATGTTATCTACAGTAACATGAATGATAGCAACAATACAAAAGCTCAAGACTTGTTTTAATGGTTTTCGGTTCTCAGCCTTTGGGGTTCATGGTTTAGTATAATGTAGGGACCATTTGTGTGTGTATATAATTTTTTTTTTCAGAAACTAGTTGATTACAAACATCTATCCCCTTTCCAGAGCATTTACACAATCAGCTCTCAGCCCAAAGCATGAAATAGTGACAAAGAGCTCTTTCTTGAAAGAAAATAAAATCACATTGTTTTTTGAGTAGGATGAAGACTTGAAGGTACCCTTTCTTGATGATCTGGGAGTAGGTCTTCACCAGGTAGTCTGAGATGTTGTAGGTGGTGAGGTTCTGCAGGACGTCTCCAGTCAGTCGCTTCACCTGGAAAGAGAACAGGGACAAAAGGCTTCAACAGACCCCTCCCCACACAGGACTGAAGTACAGACTTTAAAACATGTATGAACTCTGAACGCTGTGGCCTCTAACCATATTTGTGGCCATACCCGCAGGTGAAAGCCAGATCCTGTCATACCTCTGAAATTCAGCAGGGCAGGGCCTGGTTAGTACAGTGATGGGAGACTAATGGGAACACCAGGTGCCACAGTGAGGCGGCTGCAGCTGTAAAGTGCTAAACTGCCGTTGTCTCCCTAAGAGTGGTTTACCACTGTGTATGGAGTGAAAGAATGATGACATGTGAAGCGCTATATGAAACTGATGCATTATTATTCATTATTTTAGGCTTATCTTGGGCTATACGGCCTCAACACTCATTTGCTCTAGTGAGGCCACATTGAGTGCCCAGATAGGCGCCATATAAGTAAACTTCTGTATTACTACCAAACAAGGCAGGAGTGTGTTACCTGAGGTGCTGGCAGCCCGCCCGCGCCCTGGGGACACTCGGGCAGCATGCGCCTTACGTCCTTAGAGCTGCACTGACAGCGGGGCGACGGATCCTCTCGGCTCCAGTTCAGTCGGTTGAACATCTGCCACGTGGAGTAAGACACGTGCGGCCGCATCATGAAGGAGCCGTAGTCCGTGTCGCACTCAGGACTCCTGCGGCAAGAGCAAAGTCTAAAGCCGCTTTCACACCGAGGCAAAACAACGACAAACCCTATTGGCCACTGAGCAACACAGGCTGCTGTGTCAAAACGACTGAGTCCAATATGATGTGATTCTCTCTGGTCCCTCTCTCACGTCTCTCTCTCTCACGTCTCTTTTCGACTCACTGTGTGACTTTAGAAGATACATTTTAAAAGTTGTAAGTTCAGTTTCACTCTCACTCCAACCTTTCCCGCTGTCGTCTCGGGTCAACAGATAGGTCAAAAGTCACAAAGTCAAAAAGTTCTAGACTGACCTGGGCTCCCCTTGGTTGGCCGTGTCCATGCACTTGGTCCCAAACCCCGGCTGGTCCAGCAGAGCCTCCAGGAGGGACTCCATGGAGGGGTCTCCAGGGGCGTCATGGCTGCAGAGAGAGGAGACGAACCAAAAAGTTCTGAAAGCTGGGGTTCATCAAATATTGTTTTTACATTAAAAAAAACACATGTCTAAACAGAAAGTGCACTCCATCCATCCATTTCTTCTGCTTTATCCGTTGCCCAGTCACCAGGGGGTGGCCGTCCAAGCAGAGATGCCCAGATTTCACTCCCCAGGAAGAATTTGTAGAATTAAAAACTGCCAGCATGTTTGCGTGAGTGTGAGTATGTGTGTATTTGTTTGTGTGTGAAAATGAATGTGTGTGTCTGACCTGAAAAAGGTGAACTGCTCTCCATACATCCAGGGCTGCAGTCGTAGCGCTGGGTATTTCCCAAACGGAGGAACAATGAGACTGAAGAGCAGAGCAACCAGGACGAACACGGCCGGTAGCACGATCTGAGACACAGAGATCAGCATGGTCCAGAGGGCAATAGCATTGTGGCTGAAACATCTCTTTTAACTGTTCTAACTACACACATTTTCCTTTGTCTCTTAGAAGACAAGAATTGGTATGAATTTAGAAGTCGAAATATTAAATCCATTAGATGTGATTATGTTAAATGTCCAGTTCCACAGAAACCCAAAGAAGTATATTTTAAAAGTATAAACTGTATTTCTCCAAGTAGATTTTTTTTCAATTCCAAATTCAATATTGGAGAAAATTATTGTCTTTTGCACTAATAATATTGAGACCCAGGAAAATGTATTTTGCTACTGTATTTTCCTAAAAGAATTTGGAATATCTTTTGTTCATGGGCCTCTCATTTCAAATTGGGAAATTTGTTCTCATCCACTGATATAAACTACGGAGCTATATTTGAACAGAATTATTGTTTGAACTCATTTTTGCCAAATTCGTCATTCACAAATGCAAAGTTGCCAGTACTAAACCTCTTTTTTTTGGTATTTCCAAAAGATGTAGTTTAAAGGATTCTTTAAATAAAACTTAGTGACTAAGAGGGCTTTATGGCTTTGTGACAAAATTGTCTAAATGTCTTTTAATCCCATTGTACCTCGATGACGTTGGCTCTTTATAAATAACAAGACTCTAAAACCAGCTACTTCCTTTAGACTCCTTCATAAATCACAGACATGTGACGATGCGAACCGCTAAAAACTGCATGACTGTAAATGAAAGTGACCAGAAGAACCAGTGGAAATTTGTCTTTGAACCATTTGATCAGGGGAGAGCGCGAACGCAGTCCCCCACTACCAGAAATTATGCAGTCGAGATTCCCACATTTGGGGAATTCGCAAAGGTCAGCACAACCGGAGTGCAATGGTTGAGCCTCGCCCTGGGTGAACCACTTTTTAGACGCATTTTATTTTCTTTTAACAAGGTAGAAACATTCACGAACAATCTATACTTACAATTTTACAAAATCAACATAATAGACATTTCATCAACATAGTGAACCGTGACTGCTTTTGGGGGTGTTACCAGAGAATCAAGTCCGTTAGGAAAGCTGGCACCTTCCAGCTCTTAAGGGCCTGCTCTTTCCCACAATCCTGCATTTCCTTTAATACATAGTCCTTAAAATGGTACAAAATACATTTAAAAACTGATATTTGTGGCATTGTGATCTTTTGGACAGTCTGTATATTTCTTGCTTTCCATAGTCCATATTTAACACAGTTCATCACACACCACCATTTTTGGATGTCTTTGTTTCTTTGTTTCCCCAGTTCCCCGCATTGCACCTCCATAAAGTCTGTCGGAGCTTTGTGGAGGCTTGTCAGCCAGGGTGCGACCCCCGCCCAGACGGATTGGGCAAAGGGGCAGGACCAAAAAAGGTGGAGTGTGGTCTCATCCCCGCCACATGTCGTCCTTGGGCATTTTGGGCTGGGTGTGATTTGTCGTCTGTGCAGGAATGCTCTGGTGGGGAGACATTGGTGCAGGATTTGCCAAGCCAAGTCTCTGTCTCTGTTTTTCAAGTGGGTGGCGTTGGTGTTCTTCCAAGCCTGCCTGCTCAGCTCTTCGGAAAGCTTTCCGGCTGGAGTAAGCTTCCTCCGTTCTGGGGCAAGTAATCCTTCAATGTCTTGTCTTTTGATTTTTGTGGGTTTGACCTTTTGGAAATCCTTTGAGAGACTTTTCCGTACCACCTTGTAGATGTTTGGGCATCCTTCTGCGTGAGGTACTGTGAGAGAGGGCCGTTCTCCCCAGGTGGTTAGTACTTTTCTGCCCACCCAGAATTTAGCAAAAAAGTGCCATAATTTGTCTTCCCCGGAGTTTAAAACTGCTTTAAGGATTGGTGAGAGAAACATTGCTTTAAATTTCACTTCTAGGTCTGGGATGTTTCTGCCTCCTTCCTGAACGGGTTTGTACAGGATCTCCCGTTTGAGCCTTCCTTGTTTCCCCCCCCAAAGGAATTGGAACACTATCCTTCTGATGCTCGCAACCACGTGGTGTGGCGCGGGTATTGTGGCTGCTAGGTGCGAAACAGCAGAGAGGATTTCTGCATTAATTACTAATGTTTTCCCCACAAATGAAAGTTCTCTATCCTGCCACCTTATTAGTTTCCCTGTTCTTTTGGGCAGTGTTTTTTCCCAGTTACACTTTTGCATATTAGTACCTACAAGAAGACCAAGAACTTTGATTGGGTTCTTCTCTGTCACTGTGCTATCTTTCTCCTCTTTCCAATTAAGGAACAGAGCTTCACTCTTGGAATGATTGATTTTGGTCCCTGAGGCAAGGGTGAAAAGATTGCATGTTTGGATGGATTCTCTAATTGACCTGTTGTCTCTCAGTAGCATTGTAAGATCATCCATATATATCGATATTTTTGCTTGCCTGTTGTTACTTCCAGGGACCTTTATTCCCTTGATGTTCTTGTTTTTCCTGAGGGCGCATGCTAATGGCTCCATGGCCAGGATAAAGAGTGTGGGTGACAGGGGGCACCCTTAATCTGAACTGGGTTTGTGGGGGACCCGTTTACATTTACAATACTGTTACAATCAGTGTAAAGCAGTTTTACCCATTGGCAAAAGTTTGGCCCAAAATTAAAATGTTTCGGTACAGATTGGATGTAGTAATGACTGACACTATCAAAGGCTTTTTCTAGATCCAAACCCAGAATGCATAATGGAGTGCCTCTTTCTTTGCTAAAAAGGTATGTATCTCTTATGAGAGCCAGGTTGTCAAGAATGGAACGTTCCGGGACTCCACATGTCTGTTCCCCCTCGATCACCTCTCCAATTACCTTCTGTGCTCTTAGATACAGAGCTTTTGACAGGATTTTGACGTCTACTCCTAGCAGTGTGACAGGTCTCCAGTTCTTTAAATCATTCTTGGGGCCTTTCTTATGCAAGAGTGTTATTGTGCCTCTTTGGAGGGATGGGGGAAGAGCACTGTTTCTTAGACTTTCATCAAAAGACCTCTAACAACGGTTGTTTTAGTTGGTCCCAAAAGGCGGCGTAAAACTCTTTTGGGAGACCGTCATCCCCGGGTGTCTTGTTGTCTTTCATTCCGGTTAAGGCTTTTGTCAATTCTTCTATTGTGAGATCCTTTTCTAAGAGTTCTTTGCTTCCTTCCTTTAGCTTGTGTGTAGCGTCTTTGAAGAAGGTGGAGATTGTAAATAACAAGACTCTAAAACCAGTCACTTCCTTTAGACTCCTTCATAAATCAGAAACATGGAAACTGCTAAAATCTGTTTGATTGACTGTAAAGGAAAGTGACCAGATGAATCAGCTGATGTATATTGTGGATATTTGTCTTTGAACCAGTTGATCAGGGGAGAGCGCGAACGCAGTCCCCCACTACCAGAAATTATGCAGTCGAGATTCCCACATTTGGGGAATTCGCAAAGGTCAGCACAACCGGAGTGCAATGGTTGAGCCTCGCCCTGGGTGAACCACCTTCATGATCATGGTATCTCCCCTGCCAGGTAAGTATGAGTTGTACAGGGGCCCACACAGAGGCTCATTCACAGCCATGCTGGCCTCAGTCTGAGGAGTCGCATGGGCTTACCCACAATGCACTGCACTGAAGTATGCTAATGATGATTCTGTTTGAGCTGAAATATTTCAAAGTCACAGCTGCTTTTGGTTCTACAGCAGAAAAGACATCTGAGAGTTCACAGTCAAGAAAGTGAAGCAGCAGCTTAAGCACAAAAAACTACAAAGTTTACTTTATTCAGTCTGAGAGCAGACACAGACGGGAAGTCCCTCCCCCCAAATGTCTCGTACCAGAAACAATCACTTCTCCCTCCCCCGTTCCACATGACGCAGAAGACACTGCAAGAACAAAAGAAACATTCAGGCTTTCACACTATTCTCTATGACAGGGGTTCCCAAAGTTTTTAGCCCGCGACCCCCATCATAAATGCCCTGCTAACCCGTTACCCCTGCAAAGTTACTGTCAGTAATGGCATAAACCGGCCACCCGCTTTTAATGTGCGGACCTCTTTACCTTTGACTCCGAAAAGCCGGGCCTCTTTAACGCGCTGTTCTACCGCTGCCCTCCCTCCCTCCCTTCCTCCGCTGCCCTCTCTCCCTCCTTTGCCCTCTCTCCCTCTCTTCGCACCATCAGCCTGACCCCTGATACAAGTGACTTTTCTCCCCCTCCGGGTTTTTCTGTTGTGGATATTAACCACGTTTCATTTTAAAGCAAGTATTATTTATTTGTAGCCTCCAAACACCTTTAGTTTTAGCAAACAACAGCAGGACACGCTTTGCCGCTGTGCATGATGTGAGCTGTGTTACGTGATGATTTTGATTGACGCTGCAATGTCTGGGACAAAATTACTAACGTTATTAAAATATATTATAGTCTCCAAACACTGTTTTAACAAGTAGTCCTTTTGAATCAAATCAAATGCTAAATAAATATTTAAGGGCTTTATATTTGCTCAAAAAAAATAAATATTTTTTTTTTGTTTGTGTGGAAATCATCTTGCGACCCCCCCAGGGGTTCCCGCGACCCCCCGGGGGGTCGGGACCCCCACTTTGGGAACCACTGCTCTATGAAACCGTCTCCACATCTTCAAAAAACACTAAACTTCAGATCAGAAGAGTCTTTTTAACACATGTTACCAGTGTAACTTAAAACGTCAAATACATTACACAGTGTTGGTTCTGTGTATGCAGCTTAGAATTGTATTAAAGATTGTGAGATTTCATAACACTTTTAAGCAACTTTTGTTAAAGTTAAACTCATCGTTCTATCAATGTGCAGAAGCCAGTACTTTCCCCTTGTTTTGTCTATCTGAAGGCCAAGCTACATGGCACCGTGGCAGCTGCTGATTGGAGGTCTCCATGCCTCCGCTCTGTATAATACACTTGCATTCTGTTGTGTGCTTTGTTCGTGCTGTCTCTACCATCGACAATAAAACATGTCTTCTGTCTGAATGAAAGACGCGATCCCAGACTATGTCATCTTCTTCAAGATATTTAAAAATATCCAACATTAAAAAAAAGAA